GGAGTAGAAAGCGGCTGGTAGTTTCGAACTGCTGACCTTAAGGTTTGCAGCCCGATTCGTAACCACTACGCTATGCTACCAGAGCTCCTTACATCCATAAGCAATGGTAAAGTTCATCAAACTGTAGCGGGTAACTTTTTTTCTTTTTTTCTCTTCTCTCTTCTTCTAGTCATGTTCTGATCATCCAGCCATCAAAGCCAGGTCAACTGAGTACTGTCTACAAGTATGGGTGTTCTTGTGCATCTCCCCTCACTTCATATCAGCTGGACACTTCGCTCTCCACTCTAGTCCTCTGTGGCCATGTCACTGCCTCTGGGCCCAGGAGTCCCCGGGTCTTGCTATACTGCTGGCCAACCAGGTCTCCACCCAGGTTCACAGGGGTCTATTGAATGTGGTCGGACTTAGCTCCCCACTTCATTGCTGTCTTTCCCCCTCTTCCCCTCATCGGTGACCAACGTGGTCACCAGCCAGACCACATGCCTGCTCATGTATTCCCCTTGAGTCTCAGTCTTGGGAGGGGGTTGCTCTGAGGGAACCCGAACAGGCTAATTTTTAAGTTGCTAATTTTTCAGGGTCCACAAATGATGTTATAAGTTTTGGCAGAAAAAAGGTTCCCCACCCCTGACCTAGAAGGAGGATATACCAAGAAACAATAGCTTCACATTTTGCTATTTTTTGTTTAAAATTGTTATGGTTTGTAGTAATATATATTTTTTTTAACCTATCCTTGTTCTCAAATTTTTTTTTTATAATGGTTACTTTCAAATAAATATTAGAAAAGTGAACAGCTCCCCCATCATGTAAGTTAAAAAATACCGATATTGTGACAATTTTGTAGAATCATAAACATTAAAATGTAAATACCCTGGGAACACTGCTGTATTTTTAGCTACAGACTCTTCATTCCAGAAACATCTTTCACCAAGTCCTCTGATATGTGGAGGAGGTCAGGGGCTGCTTGGGAGCAGCACAACTTCCTCTTTTCTCCTTCACTTGGGAAAACATCCTGTCCTTTCTTGGGTTTACCCAAAAAGCATATGGTAGAAAAAAAGCTTCAGGTTTGATTTTTTTCTCACTAGATCTTTACGGATCCCTGAAATTGGTGTGCCTTTGGAAACTATGGATGGCTTTATACAAAGAGCTAAAGGGTCTGACATTGTTACCTCGGTCTGGAATAAGCAGTTTGCAGGGCAAAGCCAAGGGGGTGATTGAATGTTGATACACCAAAGCTGTCAGACTTCCTGTGGAAGGCATGAACAGAAAAAGAATTAGCAACAGCTCTGAACTAGTATCGTAAAGAATGCATCCATTCTACAAACAAATTCCAAACACCAAAATGCCACCATAGTACTTTCATACCCTAGGCTGACCAAGTATTTTAAAACATGAACAAGATAAACAGGACCCAAAACGTGGTATTTGTTTAGGCAATACTGGGTGAGATCATGACATTAACACGTAATGATAGAAAATTCCCAGCTTTTTTAATCGAAAGGTTTCCCAGTATGTGTACCAGTAACACAGACACACAGCCATGCTCTGGTGGGGAGAAGAGCTACAGAGTCTTGTCACGTATGTCCTTGCTTTAGAAGATCATGGATCACAACGGCCTATGTACACTTAGAGGGGATGGTTCTCCAGAAGCTACAACCTTCTGCTGAACTCCCCTCCTCTCAACAGATTCCTCCCCTGAGGAGCATCTGCTAGTATACCTTTAGGAAAGGAAGATCTAGAGATAGCATATGAATCCTCCCTTAAATCCTGCATTATTCTGAAGGGTCTTCCCATAAGCAACTGCTGTTTTAAACACTCCCCTCCAGAGGAGAACCACTGGTTTGTTGAGCCAATCTCCCTACTAGAAAGTTGGTTTACATGTAGCTGTATGCTGTGACAGATGTTCTAAATCCACTCAACGTTGTAGGTAATTAGCTCGGAGATATACAAGTTACGCCAGGACCGGGCAGTGTTTCGTTCTCTTGTACATAGGGCCGCTACGGTTTGGTACTGACTCGATGGCACACAACAACAACAACAACATTAGGGCCATTCACACTGTGGTATGGGAAGGGCTTTAGAAAGTTACTTTTGTTAAAAATCGTATTTTACACACACACCAGCTGCTCCTTGGAAACCCTATACAGAGTCACTATGGGTCAGAACCCATTTGAAGGCACTTAACAATAACAACACTATGAAAAATACTATAATAAAAGGAACAAAGGAAAACATTTTAAGTATGTTGTTCTTAGTTAGTCCCACAATGTTCTTGAATTGTTCTAGAAAGATACTACCATGTATGTTGTTGTTGTTTGGTGCTGTTTTGTCAGTTCTGACTCATAGCAACCCTGTATTGGGATTCCAAGGAGCAACTGATGGATCTGCACCACTGACCTTGCAGTTCAAACTGACCTTGCAGTCCAGTGTTTATCCTACAGAGCCACATCAGGACTCCATAGACAATATCAAGGGATACATAATTCAAATTTAGAACTAGCTCCTGGAGTTAAATGATAAGCTAGCAATTAAACACGCTTTTTTACACTTGCCCTCTGCCCCTCCCTCGCCCACATATAGACAGCCTCCCAGGAGTTCCCTTCAGCTCCTTGAAGATGAAACATACTGTGTGATTTCGGTGCATTACTTTGGAGACCTTTCAAGCACTCTCAAGGAAAGGGTTTCTGACAGATATTCCCCATCCCAGTCATTGCCAATTTAGAGCACCTCGGTTAGCACCTTGTTGCTAGAAGAGAGACCCCCACTTTCCTATCCTGCTCTAGATAAAAGCTCCCACGGATCCTCATGAAGTTGTTCTTAAAGCCTACAGATGAGATTGCAATAAAGAATGTATTACTCAACCAAATCATCAGCTGAATTGAAACTGCTGTAAAAGGGAAAGCCCTTATATTTGTAGCAACTAACTTGGTGTGGCCCTGCAGTTAATGTGCTGGACTGCAAGGGTGTTTGGACCGCAACATTGGTGGTTCAAACTCACCAGCTGCTCCTCAGAAACCATATACAGGGTCGGTAGGGGTCAGAACCAACGCTATGGCACTTAACAACAATGTTCCAGTAAAGTCTACTTTGGGCAAAACTTAAATAAATTGTTGTTGTTGTTAAATGCCATACATAGAGTCGTTTCCAACTCATAGTGACCCTGTATAGTTTCAGAGGAGTTTGAACCACTGACCTCGTGGCTCAAATCTACCTTACATAGTCCAGTGCGTTATCCTACAGTGGTACACCAGGACTCCTAAATAACATAGCAAGTTCCAAAAAATAGTGGAGGAGTAAATAAAGGGAATTATATATAGATACATACATACATCATTACCAAATTACAAGAAATAAAACAGCTTGCTGACTCTGAAACCAGGAAGTCTAAGGTGAAGATAACTCCAGCTCTAAACACACCCACGACCTCTGCAGGTGCTTCTAAAGGGGGCTGCAGCCGTGATGTTGCTTTAAGGCCACAGGGTGATTCACATGGATGACCCCATTCAATCTCTCCAACAAGCCTGTGAGCTCAGAATCTCTCCTTATCTGTCAAGGCTCTGTGAGTGCCTATGGAGATGGTGTCCTGTTATCTGTACCAATTCAATTAATTGTGATAAATATAACACAACACTTGCCCTTCCAACGTTCTTCACATGTACAATTCAGTGTCATTAACTTAGGTTTATGTTGTGCAGCCATCATTCTTATCTGTTCCCAATTGTTTCTGTCACCCTAACAGAAGCTCAGTGACATCTAAGCATTTGCTTCTTCGAAAGCCTTTTGGGCAAAGTTCACATCCAGTTTATTTTAAAGATAGTAATTGGTATCGGAGGCATCTCAGAATTAGGAATAAATGTAACTGTTGTGACCGAAAGCCCACCAGAGAGTACAAGGAGCTGCACCTCACTGTTCAGTGATGGGAGGCGCCTCTCAGGAAACTCACCGAAGTATGGCTCATTTGGGCATCCTTTCAACCGCACTCCTTTTGGGGTACACTCAATCAAAAAGTGCCGAACAAGTTCATTGGCCAAATCTCCAGCTGTGAGGAGACATTAGAAAAGAAGGATAAAAATTTTTTAAAAAAGAGGATGAGAAGAGTTGAGAGCAAGGGTCAGAAGGAACAGCATGGAGCTGTGCATGAGAAGGCATCTGTGCCTGAGACTGGCCACCACCGCAGGGGGGCTGGCAGTAGGCATCTAGGAATGGGTGCCAAGTGCAGGATGACCCGGGTGTGGCTCGAATCCCTACAGGAGAAATTCTGGGGATGGACGTATGCAGGGAAGCTCTCAACATTCTGCAATTACCTCAGCAAAGGGAATCAGATGCACATTTGGATCTCCAGTACAATATGGATTCCTGGTGTGGTGCTGTGGGTAAGCCTCAGAACCACAAGGTCGGTGGTCCAAATCCACCAGCTGCTCCTCAGAAACCCTATCCAGGGTCTCTATGAGTTGGAATCGACACGGCAGCATTAAACAACAAGTACAGAATTGTTATCTGCTGTTGAGCCCGCGTCCAACTCATAGCAACTCCATGCCCAGTGGAATGGAACTGCCCAGTCCTCTTCCCTCCCCGTGGTTATTAGTTGCAGACTGGACCACTGTGATCTACAGGGATTTCAATGACTGATTTTACGGCCTGTCTTCCTACTCTTAGTCCAGACCTTGACCCGATCAGCATCAGCAGCACACAAGCCTTTACTGACATGAGTGGAGGCCGCACCTGGGATGTAGTGACTGAGAATCAAATCGAACTACGTCTCCTACGTGGAGGGTGAGAATTCCATCACTGAACAACCAGCTCCAACAGATAGAAGTACAGGGGACATAAAGAGATACAGAAAAGTGATCTACTGAAGGACTGGAAGGATGCAAGCCAGCTGATAACTGTTCAGCCTTACATTCAGTTATGGAAGCCAAAGTCTGTTGCTACAAAGCATCACCTGTTGACTCACACCAGTGCAGTTAACGTCTAATGGCAAACAAGCATGAGTGATATAAACAGAAGAAAAGGCATGCTTGCTATATTCTAATGTCAACAGCAGGAACTCACTGTCCCGTATTTCCTCATGAGCTTTCTTAATTTGGGTTTGACACCTCCAATGGCAGGACCCATTAAAACTGAGTTGGTTCCAGCATCTTGCCCACAGGAGGGTAAAAAATGAAGAGTTAATATCAGCATCTCATTTGCAGAAAAGGAAATGGTCCAATTACTTAAAGGCTGTACTCTTAGTTCCTCCTGTGTCTGCTTAATTTCGGTTGCACTCTTATGATGGCAGAACCCATTAGGGCCAAGTTGATTCCAGCATCTCGCCCACAGGAGGCTCAAAAATTATGTGTATAAACAATAGTGACAAAAACAAAGGGTTGCAGAAAAAGAAAAGGTCAGATTACCTAAAGGGTGTATTAAATTAAAATGGTGGGGGGACATGTCACCACGCATTTACAGGAGGAATGCACTTACTGGTTTCCAGACTATAGTAGAACTACAGTTCAGGTCTGGAAGCCAATTGTGAGAAGTAACTCAACTGGGAATCCATTTGCTAGGAGTTATCTGGAGAACAGCTATACACCTGTTGTTGTTAAGTGCCATCGACTCGGTTCCAACTCATAGCGACCCTGTATAGGGTTTCCAAGGAGTGGCTGGTGAGTTTGAACCACTGACCCTGCGCTTCAAAGCAACCTTGCAGTCCAGCACATGATTCTGCAGCGTCACATTGGTAGCGGCCCTGAATTACAGTATAAGGATGATGACCAGGGTTAGTGTGGTCACTCACTGTGGCCATGTATTGGTCTGATGAACTCTCCTCTCACATAGACCTTTGAACTGTGAAATCCAAATGGCAAATCTAGGGTGAGGGAGGAGGGCAGTGTGGTAAAGACAACACTTGATTCTTGAAAGTCTGCTATTCAAATATTTTTTGACAGATTGAGTTCAGTCTGTCTGAGAGGCAGGAAGACACTTTTCTTCCTTAGAATGCTAAGGTGAGAAGAATGGTTACACATCACCATCCGTATTCCTAAAAAGACAATGTACGCAGAAAACTGTTTTGTCCTTTCGTGACAGTTTTCAACTGAGACCAAGAAGCAAAGTGAAAAAGCAGTAGTTGCTGTTTACTTGGCCAGCACGTTAATTTCTCGTCTCTGCAAACTTGCCAAATGTTCTTATCCTGAGTCTCTTTTGACTTCTGTAATGTTCAGTTTGTTTCCAAATAAGTCAATGCCTCATCAGACCTACTTTAGCTACAAAGGCCTATATTTAAAATAAAAAAAATAATCATCTATCAATCTTATGCTGGAATTCAGGGTGCTCCAGATTTACCCGGCTCAGCACTTCTACACAAAACCAATTCCTCGCCTTACCTAGAAGACACAAGCATTTGGAGCCCTGTGGTCCTTCCCCACTTCATCTCCCATCCTTTCTCTCCATGCAATCAATGGATAAACTTGCCAAAACAAATCCACCTGTGCATTCTGAAGATACCCCACCCATTTCTGGGGCTGGATCTCTTAGCAACCAAACCTTACCTTCTAAGGTGATTTCCCTGGAAGATTTTAAACAGAGGCTTCATACAAGGATTTGGATGAAACCTTTCAGGTATTAGACATGAAACGGGAGTGAAGCAGGTAGGTGCCATTTTATTTCTTTCATCAATGTGAGTTCAAACCTTTGCTTATTTTATTTCCCTCATTCCTGATGAACCAGGGAACCCTAAAATCAAGTGGCCTGGTAATACCTCAGTTCATGATTTGCATATTTGGGGGGAAAGAGAGGGTAAGAGAACCCTTTCCCATTCCTTAGAGATTCTGGCATAGTGATAGCGGTGAGATAAAAAGACAAACAGAATAAGCCAAAATCCAAATGTCCATAAACAATAGGGTAGGTAAAGAAATTGCAGTGTATCCATGGGATGAATGTAAACAATGAAAGAGAACAGCTGCAAGCAATCTTAAATATATAACGGATTTGTCTAAAATGTTGAAGAAGAGACAAGTCATAAAAGAATACATTCACATCAGTTTGCTTACATAAAGTTTAAAATAGGAAAAAGTAAACTTTGATGCTTAGAGATTCATCTTTGGTGGTTAATACAGAAAACTTTAACTTTTCACTTTACTTAACTAATAGGTTTATTTTTACAATGGTAGTGATAAGTAATTTGCATTACTTTATGAATACTGGAGGACAGAGCAAGAGAGTCAATATATTGATAATTATGGGAACCCAGAGGTTTTTTATTTAAGTTGCATCTCCATGTTCTAGTCTACATTTTATTAAGTTCCTGGTGGCACAACTGTTTAATCACCAAACCACCAGCTGAGAAGTGGGTGGTTTAAACCTAGGAAGAAAGGTCACAGCCTAGAAAACCCTACGGCGTTCCATTCTGGAACAATGGGGTCACCATCAGTTGGAATAGACTTGATGGTAACTTGTTTGGCTTTGTCTGGCTACCTTGTTGCTGTTGCTAAGTGTTGGTGAGTCAGTTCTGACCCATAGTGACCCTGTAGAGGGTGTCTGAGGAGCAGCTTGTGGTGTTGAACCACTCACTGACCAGTGTTTATCCTACAGTGCCACACCAGGACTCCTTGGTTTCCTGAAGAAGGTCATAATCTAGGCTCTCTCGTCTTAGATAATCATTATTTTATATCCATCTGAAAAACTCTACTGGGTATAGGTATAAAAATAGTGTATGCGGTATGTAAGAAAATGGAAAAAACAATGCATGTTTGTAAGAAAATGCCTTGTATGTAAGAAAATGGAAAAAACAATGCATGTTTGATTGTACTTATACAGAATCAATGAAAAAACATACAACAGTTTATTACAAATGGTTATGGAGTATGAGAGGGTAGGGAGGTCAATGGGATAAGATAGGCAGCAAGACTTCTTAGTGGATTCCTTGTTCCATTCTTATTTTTGAACAATTTAATGTATCATCTTTATTTTTACAAAAATCAACATTCTATCTTGAACAAGGATAGTATTTAGTAAAAGATACATGAAAGAACAGTTAGTAAAAAGAAAAGCTATATGTATTGTTGTAAATCATGAATGAACTTATTAGCATAAAAATCAACAACCAACACTCCAAGGAGATGAATGAAGGAACAGGACTGGTGCCCATGGAGATACCTTTCTTGTTCAATTGCAAGACTGAAGGTGGAGGAGTGGCCACTTTCATAGCTAGGCCATAGGCACCACGGAAGGAATGGCTGTCCCGCACGATGAATGAGCCTGGCTCCTTGTCCTTCAACATGGCAATGGCTAGACAGAAGGGAGAGAGAAATGAGCTTTTGCAAAGTCTATCTCCATTTGTGACATCGAGAAGGCCCTCTTCCACTCACTCCTTGTGAGAATTAAAGTATGATCCCTCTGGTCAAGGAGTGACTTGAACTGGAGTAGAGGGGCCCTGGGGGAGGTGTGGTGGGACATCCAGCATTCATGGGGTACTGACTGTAAAGGAGGAATAAGAACCGCTCTTACCTTAGCATCCAGATGTGGATGCTGTCTGGTCCACACAGCCTCAGAATCCTATAAAGTCAGCACAGTGGTCCCACCTAACAGGCCAAGGCTCCTCCCGAGTGAATAACTGGTTTGCTGACCCACTGAGCTAGAGCCGCATGCCTGCAGGCTGAGGCTTATGGTGGAGTGGTTTTTCCTGTTTGGCATTTAACAGCAGCTGACTGGAACAAATGTGCCCTGAGCATTTTCTGACCCCGTTAACTTCCCTAATAAATCCCATAACTCTAAGTGTGCTGTCTGAATTCTGTGTGGTCAAACTCAGCTGAACAGAGAGGGCTATGGGAAGAGTCGTTGGTGTCACATAGTGTTGCATCTGTCTTCTGCTGTTGGTGCATTTGTAGTTGTGTTTTATCATCTATTTTTTTGGGGGGGGGAGGGGGAGAGATCCTATAGATTTGTCCCTATATTATCTTCCAGGAACTTCATAGTTTTAACATTTGGGGCTTTGCTTTATTTTGAGTTTTGCGTATGGTGTGAGGTAAGGATTGTGTTTCGTTTATCAAATGGATAACCGCTTTCATCAGAATCACCATTTTGTTAAAGAAACTGCTTTTTTTCCCCACTGAAAGGACTTTGACCTGTTATCAAAAATCAGCTGCTCAAAGATGAATTGATTTATTTCTGGGATTTCAATTATATTCTATCGTTCTATATATCTGTCACTGAACCAGTAAAAGACTGTTTGATTACTATGACTGTACAGTATGTTTGAGATTGGGAAATGTGAGAACTTCTATTTTTTTCTTCTTCAATAATGCTTTTTTCTTGGTACTTGGTACTTCTTTTCTTTCCATATGAAGTGGGTCATTTGTTTTCCGAGTTTAGGAAAAAATGTTACTGAAATTTGGACTGGCATTCCACTTTACCTATAGATCTTTTGGGTAGTGCTGATATTTTCACAATGTTAACTGATGCTTTAGAGTCTTTATTATATAGTAAAAGAACCAATTAAAGTTATAAAGCATTATTTTAAGGTACTAAAACAGACCTATGTAAATGGAAGAACATTCCATTCTCATGGATTGGAAGACGCGACATTGTGAAAGGATAAGCACTCCACCTCAAGGTCAGTTTGAACCACAAGATCTTGCGGTTCAAACTCACCAGCCGCTCCTCAAAAACTCTATACAGGGTCGCTATGAGTCAGAACTGACTCATGGGCACTTAACAACAACAACAACAAGGTCTTTTACAGTCCTGGCTAGTTTTATTCCTAGATATTTTATAACTTTGGAGGCTGTTGTAAACAGTACAACCTTGATTTCTTTTTCAGAGTTCGCCTTGGTAGTAGGGAACCTACTGAGTTTTATGTATTGATTTTGTATCTTGCAAGTTTACAAAATTCTTCTATTCGAGCTGGTAAATTTTTTGGTGGAAATCTCTGGAATTTTCTAAGTATACGTAATTTGTGAAAAGAGTTGGTTTTACTTCTTCCTTTCTGATTTGTTGTTGTTGTATAAGTTATTGTTCGGTGCCACCCAACTGGTGCTGACTTATAGTAACCCTATGCACAACAGAATGACATACTGTCTCATCCCACACCACCTTCACAATTGCTGTTAAATTATTAGAGACCACTGTGGCTGCCACTGTGTCAACCTATCTCCTTGGAGGTCCTTCCTCTTTTTCATCGATCCTCCACTTTATCGAGCATGATGTCTTTTTCCAGGAACTGGTCCCGTCTGATAATACGTCCCAAGTACGACAGACAAAGTTTCACCATCCTTATTTTAAGTAGCATTCTGGTTGCACATCTTCCAAGGTAGATTTATTTGTTCTTTTGGCAGTCCATGATACTTTTAATATTTTCTTCCTACACCATAATCCAAATACATCGATTCTTACAGTTTTCTTTATACATTGTCCAAGTTTCACATGCACATGAGGTGACTGAAAATACCATCACTTGAATGGGGTGGACCTTAGTCCTTAAAGTGATTCTCTTTGCTCTTAAACATTTTAAAGAGGTCTTTATGGCATATTTGCCTAATGTAATACAGCATTTAATTTCTTGAGTGTTGACTGTAGAGTTATGCAACATGAAGTTTTTGACAACTTCAATCATTTCTCCATTTATCATGATGCTATTTATTGGTCTACTTGTAAAAATTTTTGTTTTCTTTACATTGAGGTGGAATCCACACTAAAGGTTGTAGTCTTTGAGCAACATCAGAAAGTATTTCAAGTTCTCTTTGCTTACAGCAAGCAAGGTTGTATCATTTGCATGTAGCAGGTCGTTACTGAGTTTTCCTCTAATCTTGACGCCACATTCTTCAACATATAATCCAGCTCCTTGGGTTATTTGCTCACTATACATATTGAATACATATAGTGAAGGATACAACCCTGGTGAACAACACCTTTTCTGATTTTATACCATTCAGTATCACCCTGTTCTGTTCTAACAACTGCCTCTTGGTTTATGAACAGGTTTTTCATGAACAAAATTAAGTGTTCTGGAATACCCATTCTTTGCAATGTTATCCATAGTTTGTTATGATTCACACAGTCCAAAGCTTTTGTATAGTCAATAAACATTACACAGGTAAACATCTCTCTGGTATTTTCTACTTTCAGCCAATATCCATCTGACATCAGCAATGATTTCCCTAGTTCTATATAATGGACTCAAGCGTGGCAACAGTAGTGAGGTTGGTCCAGGATCGGGCAGTGTTTTGTTCTGCTGTGCGTAAGGTCACTATGGGTAGGTATCAACTCGATGACACCTAACAACAACAACAATGTCGTCTTCTGAATCTGGCTTGAATTTCTGCCTGTTCCTTGTTGATGCACTGTTGGCAACAATTCTTGAATTATCTTTAGCAAAATTTTACTTGCAGGTGACATTATATTGTTTGATGACTTTCACCCTTTTGTTGCATCACCTCTTTGGAATGGGCACAAATATGCGTCTCTTCTAATTGACTGACCAGGTCTTCCAAATTTCTTGACATAGATGAACAAGCGTCTCCAGTGCTGCATCAGTTTGTTGAAAGATTTCAATACGTACTCTGGAAATTCCTAGAGCCTTGTTTTCCACCCATGACTTTATTGCTGCTTAAATTTCTTCCTTTATTTAGTAACATCATATGCTACCTCTTGACATGGTTAAATATTGACCAGTTCTTTCTGATACGATAACTCTTTATATTCCTTCCATCTCCTTTTGACGCTTTCTGCATGGAGTCCTTCAGTATCACAAATCAAGGCTTCAATTTTTTCTTCAGTTTTTGCAGCTTGAGAAATATTGAGTGTGTTCTGCCATTTTGGTTTTGTAACTCCCAGTTACATTTCATTAAAATAAGCGTTGTCTTCTTGGGCTAACCTTTGAAAATTTTCTGCTCATCTCTACCGTTCACTTTAGCTTTGTTATGCATGACATCAAGATTCATGTCTCTTCTGACATAATTTTTGTCTTTTTCTTTCCTTCCTGTCTTTTCAGTGACTTTTTTTTTCTTGTAATATGTTCCTGCTGTCATACCACAACTCCTGTGGTATTTGGTCGTTAGTGTCTAATGCATCAATTCCGTTCTTGAGATGGTCTCTAAATTCAGGTGGGATGTATTCAGGCTCATATTTTGCTCTCTTGGATTTGTTTTAATTTCTTTAGCTTCAGCCTGAACTTTCCATGTAAGCCTTGTTTTGGCTGATGACATTGAGATTCCCTATCATTTCTTCTCACAGATACAGTCAATTTAATTTCTATGTATTCCTTCTGGTGAGATCTGCCTTTTATGCTGTTGAAAATATATTTGCAATGAATTCTATCATGAGATCACCAGCATCATTTCTCTCCCCAAGGCCGTATTTTGTAACTACCTCTTTGTTTGCAGCATTCACATTCCAATTACCAGTAATTATCAATGCCTCTTGATTGCATGTTTGATCAGTATCAGACTAAAGAATTTGGTAGAATTCCTCAATGCTATCATCACTGGCTTTAGTGATGCATAGATTTGAATAACAGTGGTATTAAACAGCCTTCCTTATAGATTTATAAATATTATCCTATAATAGACAGTGGTGTACTTCAAGATAGATCCTTATTTGTTCTTTTTTATGATGAATGTGAAGTCATTCCTCTTCAGTTTGTCTTTCCCGGCCTGGTAAATCATAGTATAGTCTGATTCAAAATGGCCAACATTACTCCATTTCAACTCATTAATACCTTAGATATCATTTTTTTGTGCGTGTTCAATTTCATTTTTGACATTTTCTAATTTTTCTAGATTCATACTTAGCACATCCTACATTCCAATTATTAATGGATGTCTGTAGCTATTTCTCCTCATTTTGAGTTGTGCCCCCATTAGCAACTGAAGGTCCCCAAAGCTTTGCTCCATTCACATCATCATGACCATGTCTACTTGGAGAAGGCAGCTCTTTCTCAGTCATATTTTGTGTGCCTTCCAACCTAAGGGACTCATCTTCCGGAATTATATCTTACAATTTTGCTGCTATCCATAAGGTTTTCAGAAGTGGTCCACCTTTCCTTCTTCTTTGTCTGTTTTCGTCTGGAAGCCTTGCTGAAACTTGTTTACCATGCCATTTAAAACATCACTGCAATAACATCCAACACACAAGCCACCATAATACGACGGCCTGACAGATGATTCAGATACCTTCCATTTTCCTTTCTTGCCTTATGCTTTGGCTAGAACTTTTCCTATAATATTGAATAAGAGTGGTGATAATGGGCATCTTTGTCTAGTTCTTTCTCTCTCATTCTAGACAGGAATGCTCTCGGTCTTTCTCAATTGAGAATAATATTGGCTGTTGGCTTTCCATATATGTCCCTAATTATATTGAGGAATTGCCCTTCTCAGTAAAATACATACTTTGCTGATAGTTTTATTTATTTATTTATTTTAAATTAGGAAACGATTTGGGTTTTAGCAAATGTCTTTTCTACATCATATGATTATTTTCCTATGTGTTCTTGTTATCATTCCGTATAAAAAAGGAAAGTAGGGATTTGAAGAATAAAGTTCTATAAAATTACAGTGTGGAAACACTAACTTTTTAAATACCAAAGGCTGTCTGGAGATTAGAACAGGGGACAGAATTATTAAAAGGCAGGATGTACATTTCCTCCCATAAATAACTCATGATCACAGCTCCCCTATCCATGTATTGCTAGCTCAGTCCATCCCACAGGTGTGATATCTGTTTTCTGTGGTGTGAAACATAGGATTCCCCCGGCACTTTTCAGCACGTTGTGTGCCCTTGCCCCATGTACAGAATGAGCGAGGTGAGACAAGCTCAATAACCTCTTCCGGGTCACAGCAAACTGAAAACAGAACCAATTGCTGTTGAGTTGATTTTGACTCACAGCAACTCTAGGACAGAGTAGAAGTGTTATAAATCTGCACGCAAGCAGACTGCTGCATCTTTCTCCCATGGAGAGGCAAGTGGATTAGAACCAGGGACCGTTAGCAGACCAGTGCATAACCACTGCAATGCCAGGGTTACTTTTGGCCATACGGAGGCCCCTAAACTGGATGCATGGTGGGAAAGAGGAAGAGAATTAAATGGGGACAGATTTGATCTGACCCCTGAAAAGGGTACATGTGTCTGCTGCCGGTGGTACTAAAGCCAGAGCTTCCACAAGCTACTGCTACCCTACCAAGTCCAAAATAGTGTTCCATGGTTCTGAGGACACGGGGGCTCTATCCTGAGTACAGGGGGGCTCTAGGATGAGGAAGGACCCCAGATATCGTCCTCTGAAAATGCTTCTAGAAACACTGGCATTAGTGGATTTTCTCAGAGCACATTTTCTAAATAGTAGGGGTTATACAGAGCCCTGGGGGTATATAGTATAATCACTAGAAGGCTAACCACAAGGTCAGCAATTTAAACCCACTAGCCAATCCGTGGGACAAAATGAGGCTTTCTGCTAACAGAAAGATTTACAGCCCTGGAAACCCTAAACAGGGTCACTATGTGTCAGAATTCACTCGGTGGCAGTGGGTTATTTATTCCTTTTGCAAACCTGTATTAAGCTCTGATGTATTAAGATTAATGGTTCAAACCCACCAGCTGCTCCATGGGAGAAAGATGAGGCTCTCTGCTTCCATAAAGTTGTACAGTCTTAGAAATCCTAGGAAGAGTTCTACTTTCTCCTACAGGGTTACTCTGAGTCAGAATTGACTTGATGATACAGTGGGTGTTAGTAATACATTACTTGTTGTTGTTAAGTGCCGTTGAGTCGATTCCAACCCACAGCCACCCTGTATAAGATTGTCAAGGAGCAGCTGGTGAGCTTGAACCACTGACCTTGCAGTTCAAATGACTTTGCAGTCTGACGCATTAGCTTACAGCGCCACACCAGGACTCCAAAAATACATTAAACACGTATTCTTTTTTTTAGGACAGAAAAAAAAAGTCTCAGAAAAAGGTACTTTTCACTGTTTGATACCTTATCAGAGTTGGTTTTGTTTTTTTTGAGGGGGTGGTGATGGTAGGGCATGACAACTATGATGAACAGATGTCTTCTATATAAAATATCCAGAAATGGACAAAGTTAGTCCAGCTGAAAAAATTAACACCTGTTGTGGCACTGTAGGATAAACACTGGACCACAAGTCCATTTTAGCTGCAAGGTCAGTGGATCCAATTCACTAGTCACTCCTTGGAAACACTATACAGGGCCACTATGAGTTGGAGCCAACTGGATGGCATTTGACAACAACAACAAATAAAACATAGTAGCCAATTTTAGATGAAATCCACATAAAGAAATATTTTTAATTGTGTGGCTCAAATGTAAGTAATGAGAACAGTAGTTACTTTTTGTTGAGTGTTTATGATGTGCCATATTTATCAATCTGTATGCTGAGCAAATAAGCCAAGACTATATGAAGGAGTCTTGGTGTGGCGCTGTATGATAAAGTACTGGACTGCAAGGTCAGTTTGAATCATAAGGTTGGCAGCTCAAACTCACCAGCCATTCCTTGGAAACCCTGTATAGGGTAGCTATGAGTCAGAACCCACTCTATGGCACTTAACAACAACAACAATATGGAGAAGAATGTGGCATCAGGATTGGAGGAAGACTCATCAACAACCTGTGATATGCAGATGACACATCCATGTTTACTGGAAGCCAAGGAAGAGGACTAAAAATACTTACTGATGAAGATCAGTAAGTATTGCACCTCGATGTAAAGAAAACAAAAATCCTCACAGCTGGACCGATAAATAACATCATGGTAAATGGAGAAAAAAAAAATTGAAGTTGTCAAAGACTTCATTTTGCTTGGATCTACAACGAACACTCATGGAAGCAGCAGTCAAGATATCAAATGACACATTGCAATAAGCAAATCTGCTGCACAAGATGCCTTTACAATGTGTTCAAGAGCAAAGATATCAGTTTGAGGACTAAGGCGCTCCTGATACAAGCCAGGGCATTTTCAATTGCCTCATATGCATGTGAAAGTTGGACAGTAAATAAGGAAGACCATAGAAGAATTGATGCATTTGAGTTATGTTGTTAAAGAAGATAAAAAATACCATGGACTGCCAGAAGAACAAACAAATCTTCATTCGAAGTAGTGCCAGAATGCTCCTTAGAGGTCAGGATGGCCAGACTTGGTCTCTCATAGTTTGGACATATTATCAGGAGGGATCAGTCCCTGAAGAAGGGCATTAATCTTGGTAAAGAAAGATCCATGATGAGCCTAGATGGCAGGCATTATTATTTGTATTCTAGAGAGAAATTAAATGTTGAACTACATTCCAAATGTATGCTCTGCAGTTGCATTTTTCTGCAATAACAGCATTGTTTTTGTTGCAGGTACAATCACAGTGATCAGGTTAACCAAAGGAGTGGACAGTCTAATCCAGCAGATAAGCCTGGTTGAGAAAGTTGTGCCAACAGAGTAAGAGGGCCTGTTTAGAATCTTCTAGAACGAGGTACCTGAAGAACCAGTGGGTCAAGGAGCAAAGAGGCACTACTTTACGGCCAAGATCAGGTTTCCTTTAAGAGCAGCAGAGGACTGAATGGTGGCAACAAGAAAAGGACACCCAGTCAGACTTGTTGCTAAATGCTGTGGAGTCCTTTCCAACTCACAGTGATCCTGGATAGCATTTCTGAAGGGCATCTGGTGAGTTTGAATCATCGACCTTGCAGTCCTGTGCACCATCCTGCAGCACCACACCAGGACTCTAGGACCCAGCCAAACCAGGACTCACAAAGCAGTGGGGAGTAGCATTTTCACAAAAGGCCAATTCAGGACAATAAAGGTCTTTCCAGAGCATTTTCTTTTTTCTTTCTCTTCTGCCTCCTTCCTCCCCATTTAAAATAACAATAGCTTCATTGAGTGTTTGGGAAGAAATGCACATTCTTACAACTTCTATTATACACTTAAATGAATAGAAGAATATCAATGAGAAAATTTGACAGTGTTGTTTTTTCACCAGGAAACCCTTCATTTTTAGATACTTTTGGGATATGTCATGAGGAGATGGTTTTTAACCCTGAAGTTAACATAACAGGGCACAATGTAGTCATGTGGGTTTCAGGCCGGCAGTGGAGGCTTGTCAATCCTTCCTCCTTTAGTCAGACCCTGTTATCTCCAGCCCAGTACACCCCACACTCCAAGGTACCAGAATCTAGCCCACCAGGCATGGCCCGGCCATGCCTCCACATCTTTCACTCCACAGTAAGACCCAAAGCTAGGGGTTTCCCTTGCTCTTCAAGTCTTTCCTAGAGGTCAGCCCCATGAAATTGTGTGGAGAATGCAACTCCTGGTACAGAAACCAACACAAGGTGGAGATTCAAAGAATTCAGCTAAACATATGAACGCTGATCACTAAGGAAGCTATCACTCTGAGCACGTTAATTCAGCTAAACAAATGAACGCTGACCACTAAGGAAGCTATCACTCTGAGCACGTTAATTCAGCTAAACATATGAACGCTGATCACTAAGGAAGCTATCACTCTGAGCACGTTATCAGCCTCATTTTCTGATACCTCGTCTAGTTACGTTTTGGAAAAAGTGACAAATCAGATTAATTCTACCCCCAGATATTATTAATATTCCCGAATTAAGGTAATCCCTAATCTTCTTCTTTCTGTCTTGATGCATTTGCCTAGCTTTGATATTTCATCTAAGTGGGAACATGCACTATTTGTCCTTTGATGTCTGGCTTGTTTTACTTAAACTAGTGTTTCCTAGGTCCCCCCATGTGTCAGTATGCATCAGAACTTGATTTCTCTAGATCTTACTATCAGTATGCATCTGTCTTCCATATTTGGATGAATGAAGGGGTGCAGATGCAGTTAAAGTCATCGATGATTTCATACAGCAGGGCTGCTAAAAGGGCCACGTCTCTTTGTCCTTTCTGGCCCACTCCTCTGTGGAGTGGCATGGCACAGTGCCCGGGCATCCCCGGCAGTGTCGGATCAACAGGTCTCTCTGTACAATCAGAAGTTGTGTTGTGGTAGTGCTGGCAACATCACTGGCTAGTGTGAGCAGCCAAAAGTGACATACCATGTCCTGGAATGTTACTACTGTGCTCTTCAATGTCCTCATTAGCACTGAGTTCTTCCCACAAAAATGTAAAGATCCTAGCATCTCCCCCAGTGAGGCGTGTCATCAAGTGCAGACCCTGTTCTAATTGAATCCGTACTTAGGAGATAGGGCTCGGATATCCTGGTCACACAAGGGATCTAATATTCAGCACAATGAATGTCCAAGGAAATTAAATGTTCTGACTTACCTTCTTCACGTGAAATATCTGGCTTATACCAGAACTTGGATGTGTCTTGAACAAACTTCACTGTCACATGTTTATCACCTGGATTATCTGCAAAACAGAATTTAAAAGGAATAACTCAAAGACTGTTATTATTGCAACCTTTCACCCTTGATTAACCAACCGAGAAGTTCAAAGTCAAGTCCAAGTCCGTGTTGTAAAAGGAAAGCAGGCTACATCTGAAATGACTGCTTTACTAACACAGCTACTCTGAGGAGGACTTTGCAATACATTTCAAAGTACATGCGAAGCATACAGAGAAAGGTTGGTATTTAATCAGTGTTAGAATCTATAGTTACATTTTAAATAAATTCATTTAAATTGAAAAAGAAAGTTTATATTTTTAGGAAAAGGAAAAAAATAGTGCCCTCCTCAAAGTCTGTGCTATCTAATATTAGAATAGATTTAACTTGGATGAATGCAGAAACAAAATGAATTAATAAGAAGCAATGAATGGGCCAATATTTAACTTGTGGGCTAGCAAAGGAATTCATTCAAACATCACTAAGTGCCTTGACGGTGATGCTGTTGGTCTTTCTTGGCTATCAACTCAAATTAAAGACTGGATTCTTGTGGTAGCTAGCCTTCTCACTGCATAGATAAATTCAGAAACCCTTTTCTGAGCAAGGAAATCTAGAAGAGGCTTCATCTACACACATGGAAACATACCTACCTGGCAAAGGCGATCCTGTTTCTGAAGCTTTAGAGAAATCCGGAAGGATGTTTGGGAAAGGAATGCTGATAGTGCTCCCACTGTGGGGGCTGGAGAAGCCACTGGAGGAAGGGGAAATGGAGCCAAAGGACCGGTCTCCCTCTGAGGCTCGCTTCTTCTCTGGAAGGGGTGGCTGCAGGGGCAGGGTCAGCCCTGGGCCCTGTAGGGCTGAGCTGTGCTGACCAACATGTTCTGGTACAGCTGTGAGGAAGTGATGGGGCAGGAAGTTGTTGTCACTAACCACTGCTGTGCTCAGTGGGGCACCAGGGGCTGGGGAGGCTCCCTGGGAATGAGCCAGCAGGCTTCCTGGAGTCTCCCCGGATGGAAGGCTGCTCCCCATAGCAGTTCCACTAAAGCTCAAGAAGGCAGGGCCGCTCTGGGTGACCAGAATTTCCGATGGTAGTTCCCTCTGGGAAAGCTGATGGCTGTTGAAAGAGCCCTGGAGCTCTGAAGTCGGAAAATGGGGCAGCACTGAAGAGTCCTTCATGGGGCAGGAAAACTCTGAGGGGCCAATGAGACCTCCTGCTGGTAGGCTGCTCCCCAACATGGAAAGCCTGGAGTTAGGGCTAGTCTCCAACCACTGCTGTTCTGCAGAAGAAGGGCTGTGTGAAACAGATGCAAATCAAAAGAGAAAGTAAGGTCAACTCTGAGATTCCTCAAAATAAGGGACTATTTAATGCTCAGGGTGTTGAGAAGTCCTGGGGAGTGAGGCCACTGTGTACTGTGAGGCATTTCTCAAATAACACGATCTATAGCCTCACCCTCAACAGATTGAGTGAGCTCTGGTAGCGTAGTGGTTACGAATCGGGCTGTGAGCCACAAGGTCAGCAGTTCGAAACTACCAGCTGTTCCACGGGAGAAAGACGAGGTGTTCTGCTCCCGTAAAGATTTACAGCCTTGGAAACCCTGTACAGGGTCACTATGGGTCGGAACCGACTCCATGGCACACAACAACAACAGATTGAAGTGGCATAGCCCTTCACTGAGTCCACATTCTAGACCCTTGCTAAGTTCACGCTGCTAGATCTTCCAGTCTATGGATCCTTACTCCACAGCCCTGGAGAGCTCCCCTCATTCCAGCCTCCCCTTCTGCTTACAAATGTCTGTACTGCTCCCCAAGCCTTCTCCTGTCAAAATGCTCTTCTTTCTTTAAGGCTAACTCCAAATATGCTCCCGCCTTTGAAGCTCTCCCAACTCTTTACCCAGCAGCCCAGTCTCCATTCATCTGCACACATAGGGAGATTGTTCCACAACCCGGAGCACATATAGCAACTATGACACTGTGATTGGAGTAGGCTGTTTGCTTATCATCTGTCTACCTCTCCTCTCAGGATGATTGTTCCTCCAGGTAGAAACCTTATCTCCCCACTTTCTTCATCTCTCCTTGATGCCTGACATGAAGACCGGATGTCAGATTTCAATAGATGCTTGTTGGCCAAAGCAGCTAACTAAGGAACCTCGCCAGGCTCCTTCATCTTTCAGAGACAATCGGGCATTTAGGAATACAGTAAGACAGCGAAAAAAAAAAAATACCATGCAATATGAACATACACCTGTATTTCATTAGCAACACTTAGTGAACATATATTCTATATGTGTGTGTGTCAAGTCCTTTAATGAGATTCTAAAAAAATAGTAAGAATAACAATGGAGGCAGAATCAAAAAGTTAACTAGGGAAGTGATGTGTCCCTTGACACATTACTTGAAAAATAAAGCACAAAGAAATGTATTCCTTTTCCGAGCAACGGGGTGGCACCACACACGGATCACTGCAAGCCAGTCTCTGTGTAAATCAGAAACAGGAAATTCCTTGCTGCCCATGGTCACTTTCCTTCCGTCTCTTAATCCCACAGAAACTACCATTCTTACATTTTTCCCTGTATCTCCTCTGTGTTCCCATGCTTTCCCATATAACAACATATACACTAGGTCTCTGTGAGCCAGTATTTTCTTGCCTGTAAACCCCATACATTCTCCCTAACCCCAAACTTCACAGCAAAGCCTTTCCTGTTCCCACAACAAACTCCCTTTCCAACCTCAGCCCAGGCCACGTGGTGAGGCAACATATTTATGGATTTATGGATTGTGGTGACGTCAGATAAGTACTCGACTGCTAACTGCAAGGTTGGTGGTTCAAACCCACCAGCTGCTCCTCAGAAACCCTATAGAGTGGGAAACAAATCAATGGCACATAATAACAACAACCAAATCCTTAATGCTCCAAATTCCAATTACTTCATCAGCTCTGCCGAGGGTCGCTTTTCTATCTCTTACAGCACACTGCCTCCTATCAGCTGGGGGAATGTAAGACTTTACTTAGACTTTAATGCAGAGTTAATTCTTTCAATTCACAAAGGTAGCCCCCGGCTCATTTGGACTGCAAACTCCCCATTTTCCCGTTATCCTGGCCCGTACTCTGAGTTGTTTAGAGGTTGTGTTAGAAGTTTACAAACCCATCTTCTTACCTCTCTCTTTTCTGGACAGGGTTGGTGGTTGAAATTGTGCAGGCAGATGTAAATGCCTGCTGAAAGGAAGGCGTAGTTGGCATATCAGTCCAGAGCACTGTGGGTTTGGGTCTGTTCGGGTCCTCTGACATCCCCACAGAATGATTTAGAGCCTCCGGGGAGCCATGCGAGTCTGGGGTGAAAAAAAAAAAAGAACAGATAGACTTTGATGAAAAGATTTGATGGGTTATGATCTTAGACAGTCCTGGTATGGCGCTGGTAGATAAGCATTGTACTATAAGGTGGGTTTAAATTCATCAGGCACTTCTCAGAAACCCTATACAGGGTTGTTATGTGTTGGAACTGACTCGATGGCACTTGAAGGACAACAACAATAATTTTAGAGTGGTTAATGTGCTAACTCAGAGGCACCTCAGAAGAAAGGACTGGTGCTCTACTAAGCAAGGGGCTCAAAGTGCAGACTTATTCTTCCATTGTTAGGACCCCAAACTCAAGGACCCAAACTTCAATTCCCACACACAACGCTCAAAGCTTACTGTGAATCAATTAACGTTATCACATGACTATAAGGAAAACACTCAACAGGTGTATCATGCTTATTAAACTCGTTTCTCACGGCCTGTCACCAAGTGAAAAACAAAACAAAACAAAACCCCTACATGACTCTTATTTGCCTATTCTGTGTATGACCCAGTCCATTTCTCTTTTAGAAAGTAAGAGACCTTCTCTTTACAAAGCAGCAGGTGTGTGAACAACAGGGAGGTTCTCCTCCAAAGCAACACATCTTCCATGAAGTGCCAAGCTACTGGTGTGTTTGCTTAACCCTTCACTTTGATGCAAGATTGTACGGTGGGTGAAAAGCAGGGATTCCACACTATGCAAGATGCTTGCCACATGGTACTTCTAAACGGCATGACATCAGGTCCACATATATAGGTATCACCACACCCACACATAAAGAAGAGATCTTGTCCACCTGACATCACATTGAAATGTGCTTCACAAGGAACAAAAGGATCTACATACACTAGGATTTCATTAGTCTCATGTCTGAAATGACAGCTGTGATTAATCCCATGTATGAAATGTCTACTGTGGTCCAACATTATTTTTGGGTATTTTTCAAACCTGATTTTTTTTTTTTCTGTGTGTGTGTGTGACTAACCACACTTTAAGAACTGAGGAAATCTACCAGGGTCAGTAAAATCATGCTATGAGAAGCACAAGTCATATTTGCTGTCTGACTTAAAACAAGGGGGGACTGATAAATCTGTAACAAAATTTGACACCAGAATCACACTCCTTATAGAAATGAGTTGTTTCATTTACCAAGAACTTTGAAAGGAATGAAATACATGACCTCTGAGGAATAAAATGTCTAGAAGTTTGTATTAAACCCAAGGGTCAAAATGTCTCACTGTGGATTAGCCAGATCAGTAATGAAATAAAATCCACAATGTTGTTGTTTTTGTTTCGTGCCACTGAGTTGGTTCTAACTCATAAGTGATCACGTGTACCATTTCTGAGAGCGGCTGGTGGGCTCGAACTGAGATCTTGCAGTACACAAGAGCTCCAGAGAAGCACCAGCAAACCACATGACTAACGACTCAACAAGATGCACTTTTAATACCCTTCAAGACTGAAACTCTCAGTGCAAGTTTCCACTGTAACTTCATAAACACATTTACAAACATGATTGCACTTTGTTCCACTGAGGTAAACATCTAATCACACTACCCACAAAGAAAGAAAGCTCTAAAAGCTACCTCCAAACAAGGGGAGTGAAGTATTTCACGAAGAATTAATGTTAGTTTTTAAAAATCTAACAGTATTTTTTATTAAACGTTATAGATTGCTTAGATTATCACTCAGCACATAAAATGCCTTAAGTTTTAAGTACGAAGGCAGTAACATTTCTAAATTAGTTTACAGATCTTGTTGTCTGTTGTCGTGTGCTGCTGAGTTAGTTCAGACTCATAACAACCCTGTATAGTGTTTCTGAGAGCGGCTGGTAGGTTTACACAGCTAACCTTGCCATCAGCTCTCCAGTGTAGGCCGCAAAATGTTTCCTTGCAAAAAAAAAACAAAAAAACACAAATAGCTTTATATATTTAGGGATAAATGACCTACAAAAATATCACATGATGTATTCAAACACCATTATATCATTACCACAATCAAGATAATTAACTAATCTATCTGGAGTCCTGGTGTGGTACTATGGGTTAATGCGCTGGACTGCAAAGTTGGTTTGATCTGCCAGGTTGGTGGTTTGAGTTCACCAGCAGCTCCTGGGAAACCCTAAATAGGGTAGCTATGATTCGAAATCGACTCTACAGCACCTAGCAACAACTAGCGTAGTGGTTACGAGTCGGGTTGCTAACCTCAAGGTCAGCAGTTCTAAACTACCAGCTGTTCTATGGGAGAAAGATGAGGTTTTCTGCTCCTGTAAAGATTTGCAGCCTTGGAAACCCTTTGCAGGGTCACTATGAGTCGGAACCAACTCCACGGTACTTAACAACAACAACAACAACAAATGGACTATATAGAATAGGCAAGTACATAGAGACCAAACCTGATGAGTGGTTATCACATACAGGAGGGAGCAGTAGAAGGGGAGTCATTGTTTGACAAACATTGAGTATCTGTTTATGGATGGAAGTTTTGGCAACAGGTATTGATAATAATTGAACATCATGATTAATGCCATAAATGTCATTGAACTGCACATTGGCAGTTGGGTTATTTTTACCATACACGCACATGCATGCATGATAAAAGAGTGCTAGAGGATGTGAGAGAGCTCAAAAGAGAAAGTCAGAGCAAAAGAGCCTGCAGCCATCCCACTTGAGGAGGTTAGTGTCTTGTCAGAATGAGACGATCATTGGGAAAATACAGGTACTGGTTTGCTGTGCACAAGGTCACTATGGGTCAGTACCAACTCGATGGCACCTAACAACAACAACATGAGCAAAGTGTTGAATGATGCAGAAGGCATCAAGAGAAGATGGAAGGAACACACAGAGGCACTGTACCAAAAAAGAAATGGTCTATGTTCAATCATTTCAAGAGGTAGCATATGATCAAGATCTAAATGATACTGAAGTTCAAGATGCACTGACGGCATTGGCAAAGAACAAGGTACCGAGAATTGATGGAATACAAATTGAAATCTTTCAACAAACTAATGCAGCACTGGAGGTACTAACCCATCTATGCCAAGAAATCTGGACGACAATTACTTGGCCAACTGAGAGATACATATTTGTGCCCATTCCAAAGAGAGGTGACCCAACGGAATGTAGAAATCTTCAAACAACGTCATTAACATCACACGAAAGTAAAACTTTGCTAAAGGTAATACAAAAATGGCTGTGAACATACATTAACAGAGAATTTCTAGAGGTTCAAGCTGGATTCAGAAGAGGACGTGGAACGAGGGTTATCATTGCTAGCATCAGGTGGCTCTTGGCTGAAAGCAGAGAACACCAGAAACATATTTACCTGTTTTATTACGCAAAGGCTTTCGATTACGTGGATCATGACAAGCTATGGACAACATTGTGGAGAATGATTATTCTGGAACACTTAATTGTGCTCATGAGGAACCTGTACGTAGATCAAGAGGCAGTTAGTTTGAGCGGAACTAGGGGACACTGAATGGTTTAAAATTAAGAAAGGTGTGTGTCAGGATTGTATTCTTTCACCATACTTATTCAACCTGTATGCTGAGCAAATAATCCGAGAAGCTGGGTTATATGAAGAAAAATGTGGCATCAGGGTTGAAGGAAGACTCATTAACAACCCGAGATGTGCAGTTGATACAACCTTGCTTGCTGAAAGTGAAGAAGACTTAAAATATTTACTGATGAAGATCAAAGAGCACAGCCTTCGGTATGGATTGCATCTCAATGTAAAAAAAACAAAAATCCTCACCACTGGACCAATAAACAACATTCTTATCAATGGAGAAAAAATTGAAGTTGTCAAAGACTTCCTTTTGCTCAGATCAACCATCAACACTCATGGAAGCAGCAGTCAAGAAATCAAATGACATATCGCAATAGGCAAATTTGCTGTACAAGACCTCTTTCAAGTGTCAAAGAGCAAAGATGGCAGTTTGAAGACTAAGGTGTGCCTGACCCAAGCCATGGTATTTTCAATACCTCATATGCATGTGAAAGCTGGACAGTGAAAAAGGAAGACCCTAGAAGAATTAAAACACTTGAGTTATGGTGTTGTAGGGGTATATTAAAAGTACCATGGACCGCCCAAATCTGTGTTGGAAGTACCGTCAGAGTGGCTCCTTAGAAGCCAAGAAGGCTAGTCTTCGTCTATCATGCTTCGGACATATTATCAAGAGGGAGCAGTCACTGGAGAAGGATCTCATGTTTGGTAAAGTGGAGGGTCAGAGAAAAAGAGGACAAATCCCTAAGGAGACGGACAGGCACAGTGGCGGCATCAATGGGCTCGGGCAAACAACAATAATGAGGCTGGCGCAGGACTAGACGGTGTTTCGTTCTGTTGTGCACAGGGCCACTATGAGTTGGTACTGACTCGACGGCACCTAACAAAACCAACAATACTCATCCTGATGGTCCCCATGAAGTGGCTGGTACAATCATTGTTGCTTTTGAGATTCTAGAGAATCCCAATGTGAGCCTCAGAACCCCAGTCACACTCGCAAGTTTCCTTAAGGGTTTTATGTGCTGCAAAGAGGCCGAAAGAAAATCAAATCCTACTTTGTTCCTCTAATCACATTTCTTGTCTCTGAAAACTGCAGGCAAAGCACTTCCCGTAAAGAACGGATTTGTTTATTAATTCAACTAATACTAATTCAAGGGCATAGGACTTGTTTTATTCCCTCCTGTCGCAGTCTTCTATCTGAAGAAGGGGGCTCCCCGAGGATCTCTGCTCAGTGGACGTTTACATTTAGAATCTTAGAACAATAGCAGACAGTCATATACAGGGTAAACGAGCTAGACCTACAGATTGAAATCCTTCCTGCTCTTGATTTCTAGAATTTTGCTCATTATAAAAGCAGGCAGAATATATATATGTTTTTAATTTTGTAATTTGATATTCACAGTTTAATCCAAGTCAAGGTGAAATTTCAGAAATGACAACTGTTCAGCCTTGTAATTTCAAAGGTGGCTAGCAAAACGGCCTTGG